AACATACAAAATATACCAACTTCTGCCATTATAAAGTTGCCTGTTGATAAATCATGGATATGCTCTTTTGCTGTCTCAATAAAGAAAGCCTCTTGTATCATTGGGGTTATTTTGTAAAGGATGTAAGAGCTGATGGCATAGGGCCGGTCTAGCTTTAAATGTCCTTTTCAGATGTAGGATTTGAGTGGTGCATCCCTTAAGCTCTACCAAGACAGTTGGAGGTCTACAGGTTATACTAAAATGTTTACTGTTTTAATTTTAAAGTATAAAGGGCTTGTTCACACCAGATGCGTTGGGTTGTGCTGGGCAACCTTGCCCTGTGCAGTCCCGGTTCATTGAAAAGTCAGTTTTGCCTTCTTGCCAAGTCACATCGTTGTGGTGGTACGCGAAGAAAAAAAAGTGCAATTAAACCTTTTTTCTTTTGTTTTTTTGCATATATCTACTGCTAAGAAGTAATAGATATATGCAAAAACATTAAAAAAAGTTACCAAATAGGTAATCACTTACCTGTTTCTCCGCCGCACGCTCCCAACTGAAGATTCCCGAGCAGCTTGAAGGATGATGGGGCGGGCACATGCGCAAGATCTTGGGCTGGGAGAAGAGGAGAGACTCAGTGTAAGTCATTGCACGCCGACAGACTCCGTTGGACACAGAAGACACAGTGCCAATTCGTAACCAGCATCGGAGAGACTCCTGAAAACTACCGGAAAGAAGATGATCGGATCAAGAGGCATCATTTAAGGTAAGTCCTTAAAGCAGCTTCGGGGGGGAATTGTGACTTTTAATGTCCCTTTAAAATTTAAAGTGGGCTATAGACGTCAGGGCAAAAATAACTAATGTGATTTAATCTTCTCTTCCCGTTTGCAATCAGTCTCATAATTTTCTCTCCCTGTACTTGGATACTAAAGATGGCATCTTAATAATGGGTGGGGGTGCATTGGAGGTTCTAAGTGGTAAGTTTGAGGGTAAAATATTTACCTAGCTGGTGGAATTGTCAGCGGAGACTAATCTGATGAAGGTCTCTATCCTGTTCTTCTTTGGAGGGAGTCCTTCTGTCTAGAGCTGCAGCTAACGATTATTTTCAAAATCGATTAGTTAGCCGATTATTACGTTCGATTAATCAGTTTAAAAAAAATTTTTTTAAATGGCTCCAGTCATGGACTACTAGTTTGTATTGAGATTTTAGTCCACCACAGGAGCAAACTTGGAGCGGTGGAAGAAAAAAAGAAAAAGAAAAACTGTGGTGTGCAATATAGTGAAATGAAAAGTGTCAAATTATACAGCAATGAATGCAGAACGGCACCGGCTACAGAGGACTACAAAACCCAGCAATACATTATACAGCGCAATGCGAAATACCTCCAGCTATAGAGGACTACAACATGCAGCAATGGCACGCTTACCTAACCATTCTTCCAGCAACTTGTTTCTGAGATCGGGCTTGTCTATCGGCGGCTGTCATCCGCCCACACCTGCTCCTCCCTACTTCTTCTCCCCGTGTCCCTGTGCCGATCGTTGATGTGGGCGGGTGGTGAGCGTGAGGCGGGGAGGAGGTGTGGCGCGCAGCTGTGTGGAGCCATGAACAGGGCCAACCAATCGGAAGCCGATTAATCGATGATTGAAAAAGTTGACAACTTTTTCAATAATCGATTAGTTGTTGCAGCCCTACTTCTGTCTTCCCAGTCCCTAATGTTATCGGCTTGAATATGGACTTCCTGCAATGATAACTGTACAAGTTGCATTGATTTGTCAGCAGAAAGAAACCCTTGATAAGAGGAAAGAACCCGCTGTATGAGATCTGCTTCTGGATTCATAGGACAGAAATAGAATGCCATTGGAGCCATTTCACAGCAGCTGGGAATTTTAGAGCAAACTATGAGATTTCACGCCGGTGCCGATGTCTAGTAAACCTAACTCAACCGAAGGCTTCTAGCTTTGGTGTCTGACAACCAACTTTGGAATGATGGTATTGCTGCACACATTTCTCGGGCATCCATAATAGAATTGTTCCTTAAAATTAACCAGTCACAAATCTGAGGAGGTGAAACAGAGCTTTTGCACATGCAGAGGTTAGAGTAACCCTATGTCCAAACTATAGACATTCAGATATATACATATTGTTCAGATGTAAATAAACTTTAAAACACAACCTCCCTGCCCCGGCTCTCCTGAGTAGCACACCATAAAGCCCTCACGGGCAGGGCCCTCCTTACCATCTTGTCTTGAATTGAATTGTAATTATATTGGAAAGCGCTGCGCAAACTGTTGGCGATATATAAATCCTGTATAATAATAATAAAATCCCTGATAGAAGGCCTGATCAGTTGTACACAAATGTTTGACCTTTATGCTGTAGAACAAGTATGCTGATCAGGGATCCTGACGTTACATGCTTGGTCCAGAACTCAAAGCCACTAGATCAGCATGAGAGTTAAGAAACTAGAAGTAGGTCAGTAATGGCAGCCTCCATATTTCTCTCAGTACAGGTTTCCTATAAAGAAGGGGAGTCACAATACATGGACTGATTATACTGGTACACACCTTGTACATTTACTTGTAAATTATGATTGTGATGCAGTATTTAAACCAAACCAGTTAAATACTGAGTTCCATCCGTCTGCAAAGACCAATCTAGTTCCTGAAGGGGGCCCCCTAGAGGCATATCATGGGTTGGTGTCTATCATTGTAATGAAGGAAGCAGAACATTTTGACTGTGTATAAGGTCCAAAGGATCTTTTCAATTCAATCATTTAGATACATTTTAACACAGAGTAAGGTTAAAGGAGAACTATGGGGTCAGTGCTTTTCCCCAAGGGTAACGGGAGGACACAAACTAGCGTCCTCCCGTCACTCAAAGCTCAGTATACTGCAAGCTACAGCTCGCGGTATACTGAGATGCCGCAGCTGGGATGGACCCCGACATTACTGTCTGGATCCACCCAGCTGCGTGAGTGACAGCTGGCTCTGCCTATCTAGAGGCAGAGCCAGCTGTACCCTCCCCCGTCCGTTCCGCCAGTCAGCGCTGGAGGATCGGAGGGGGGGG